GGACCCAGGGACCCTGCGCACTGCACCACTCCGAAATCTGCCATCGACCCCAGGGAGGGTGCTGAGCGGGGTTGGGGACACTGTAGCATCCAAAAAGAGCTTGTGAAAAGATGCCCAAGGAGGAGGATTCACCCTTCTTGTACCGGAGAGGACCGAGGCTCGAAATTTCTTCAAACAGACAACAGGCATCTCCGGAGGACAGTGAAATATCAGACCCGAGCGGCTTTCAAGCTTCTCCGGTTATTGCTGATTCGTTATGTATTGCACAGGCTGCTCTCCGAGTTAGGGCCAGCTTTGCAGAAGCACTGGGCCACCCCTCCACGGGCCCCATACGGGTAGAAATCCGCAGCAGTGCCAGGGCTGGTGAAGCAACAGTGCCCGATGTGCATTACCTGCTCTGCAACAACCTCATCTCCGCGTAACGAACCTGCACAGCCCCGCATCTTGTGAGAGCAGCCCAACAGTCGCGCCTTCTTCCGCCTGTAACTGCTTGCTGTGACACAAGCAGCATGACTTCATTTCTATAATGTCCTGACAATTATTTTCATGTGCCATTTAATAAATGAATCTTTTTTTGGTTAAAGTTTGGACATAAATACCAGCTCTGCACTTCAGAGGATGCACAGCAGTTTATTCTGTGGCCTAATTTGGACTCTCAGTCAAAATCTTCTGTGGAAAGCTTTGTACCATCCAAGCAGAAAGGCTTGCAATCTGCTGTGTGAAATCTCTAAGTAACGAGTTTAATTTCCAAGGGCCCCGCCAAGGCTCTGCACCGATACAGCCGGAATGCCTTCCTTTCCCTCACCCCTTATCAGAGGGGAAGAATACATATTTTCTCATCACTGTTATAAGCTTTTATCTGTGCCTTTTTGATAGGAAAAAAGGCAATCCGTATAACTACGTTCTTGAATTATAAAACATTAAAGTGTATTAGAGAAAAGTCCCACAACAGGTCCTGCCAAGGCCCTACCTGACTGGCAGCGAGCCCGCAGGGGAAGCAGTCTCATAGGGTTTGCAAACAAACAGCGGGAACTGCTTTTGCTGTTTGCAGGTGTGGGAAGTGCCTTGTATGGGGAGCCCGGCACCCCTGCCCCCCAGCCCAGAGCCCTGCCAGACTTTCCCCCACCCTTCCCAGGGTGGGGGGAACACAGCTCCATCCTTA